CACACACACACACACACACACACACACACACACACACACACACACACCCCTCTGCTTTTTTCATGGTTTGACAGCACAGCCTTGGTCTCCATGATGACAGATCATCTCATGCGTGAGTTTTTTTTTTTAATGTCTATTTGATATATTTCAACAGTACGCCTCTGCATGTTTTCTGTACGTTTGGAGGATTAAGTCCAAAAAGATGAGAACACCTGCTGTACATAACACAGAGTATATATTACTTCTATCATCTTGTAATCTCACATTTCTCTACTAGGGCGGCAACTCAACATTAGTTTCAGTGATTAATCACACACTTATTTATTGGAATTAATACATATTTAAACAAACAAAAAATGTAAAGCCCATCACAATTTCCCCGAGCTGGAACCACAAATAAACCACATTTTTTGCTTCACACAACATAAAAGTTAGTTATTAAAATGACAAATGTCCACAAATCAACTATTCCATTCATGCTCTGATCCTTTCAGCACCTGTGTGGGGACCACACGAGTCAAATAGACTGACTGAACCAGGATCAGTCAGTCTTGTACTCGGCCTTGGTACACATGTACCGGACACAAACACACGCAGCACTGAGGCCATATGAGGTCTCGTGCCATGGCAACCGGCAGGTCGTTGTTTCCAAACACATGGTGATGGCTTCCTTCACTTCAGGACTCCAGGGCCACTTGTGAGACTTAGATAGTGTCAATGGTTTGGAGAGGAGCAGTGTGTGTACATCAGGAGGATTGTAGAGATGTACACGGACTCTTGCTGGAGGTCACACCAGGGCACTGGGACCAGAACGCTGAGAGAACCCAGAACCTGGTCCAGGATCACACTGACGCTCAGGACAAACAGGAACTGCTGCAGCAGGAAATCACCCGACATAGTGCCGAGTGTGTTTGCCACTCACTCAACCGACACAAAGCCAATGAATCATGTTGGATGATACACAGCTGTCATTTATCACGACACAACAATCATTTTCATAGCTGCTGCTGAGACTCAATTCATAAATTATTTTTACAGAAAGAATAACTAAAAATGTGATGAAAAGCTGCGGAAAAAATGGCGGATGTGCAACTTTTCATTTGGACCTAATAATTCAAAAGTTAGCACTACATAAGTGAAGTTTTTATTTTATGCAATTAAACTTTGTAATAACCCTTTGACAGACATACTCTCTCAGCTCATCATTTCATCCGGAAAGAAATCTTCTTCTCCATTCAGGTCTATATTATCTAACTGTTGCATTCAGCTGTGCTGTATTCTGACAGAAAGTGATTCAAGAAGAAACAACTTGTTCTTTAGTTGAAACAAACTTCTCTCTCTCTTTGTCAAAGACAAACAGTTTGACCCCCAAATATTACCCGTCACACATCCAAACATTTCTCAGTACACACACACACACACACACACACACACACACACACACACACACACACACACACAGCAGAAATTCGGTCATGAAGAGCTATTTAACAAGAGTAATGACTGATAATGACCGATAGGAGGGCAGATAAGTCAAGTGTGTGTGTGTGAGGAGGATTTGAGATGACCCCAGATAATGACCTGACCCCCCAAAGTTCAAAGGGCGATAGCTTCCAATTAGCCTCCATGTATTTGTTTCCTCACACACCAATGGCATTGTAGAGGGAGGGAAAATAGGGGGGGCTGTGATCGATCGATCGATCGATCGATCTCTCATATGAAAACAGTTTCTAGAAATGCGACATGTATGCAAAACTTGATATGAAAACCAAACTGTCAAATCCCGAGCAGACGAAGACTGCAGTTCAAAGCCAACACGCTCGGTTCAACAACTCTTAAGTTGACAAATCCTGAATAAAAAAAAGAATAAGAACTGTTGAAAACTGTTCAGCGATCCTGAACGCTCTACTGGGAGTCTCCTCTTTCACACGACCCCGTCAACAGCAGCCCGCTTCATCAAAGGCAGCCCTGAACACACACACACACACACACACTTCCTCAGGCCAGAGGACTGCGGTGCTGTGACTGGTAACCATAGCGACGGGACAGCAGCTAGCTGCCGGTGTGTTTTTCCTCAGGATTAAAAAAAAGAAGAGACGGGGTTTAGCAACGCTCCGTGAACTGGTCCAGAGGAGTTACCAGTTCACTTTAAAACAACTAAACCACATCAGTGTACTCTGGGAATATATGCGATTGAGACACAGCACACAGCAAGCGAGTGTGTGGGGGACACACACATTATCCAGACAGGAAGAAAAACAACGACACCGTCGAGCCACTCGATTGAATGACCGACACAGACTGCTCCGAAAGAAATGAAGGATGTAAAACAGCCAGTAGTTTCAGCAGAGATGAATACTGAGAGGAAGAGGAGAAGAAATGTTTTACCTTTGTTGGAGGAAGTCAGCAGAGACGGCGGCAGCAACATGGAAGAAAAGAATAAAAAGAGACAGTCTGGTTAGATTGAAGAACTTTTAAACACATCAGGTCAGTCCTGATAATGTTACACCACACTAAAATGAACACTTGTACGTTATTTATGACTAAATGATGTCAACTCAAGCTCCTTTTTGGACCAGCTTTTTCTGAGCTCGTGGTTATATATAGATGAATGCATGTATGTGAACAACGAGGGGTATCCTAAAACATGGCGACCACGACCCAGAATGCAATGTGCCATTACGTCATTGCCCATTCTCTATAGAAGAAACTGATAGCGGCCGGCACGCACCGCACGCACCGCACATATAAACATGCAGAAACTTCACATTTAACAGAGTCATAAAAGCATATTGATTTTCTGCATTTTTTACATGCGCATCAACTTATTCAGTGGTTGAAAGCAGCATCTGAAGAAGAGTAATGCCTTCTTAAAGGGAATAACATTTCCTCTCTTTGATCTCTGAACAGGAAGTCTCAGCCAAACAATCTGATTTACCACTGCTGATAAATACTTTGACGTGAGTGAAGGGTGGTGTGCAGACAGCGTCATGAGGGCCGTGTATCGCCCGCGGCTACGATTCAACATGTTGTGATCATATTATATATTTACGGTTAGGCTTACAGACTCAGATTTTCAGTGTAATTTATTTGCCAAGAAGAAAAAGAGACAAAACACACAATAAACAAAGTCAAAGATAAATTTGACTGATAGCAATAGAAGAAATAAAAGCTATCACGATAATATCGTCAATGTAAATTGTTTTGGCCACAATGTTCGTGCGGTGAAAATTGAATATTGCGACAGCCCCGATTGCAATTTTATAAATATGTAATTTAAGGAAAACATCACCATATGCAAAAAAAAAAAAAAGAAAAAAAAGAAAAAAAATCAACGTTAACGTTTTTATGCAATCAGAACAGTGGCCTTTCCATTTGATCACAGTCCCTGTAACAGCCAACATCATAGCACTACTTTTTGTGCAGTCTGAGCCGCCGTCGGCCACGTTACCTATTTAATTCTATACGGTATCACGAAACATAATATCGCGATACTCGACTGTACCGATATTATCTTACGCCCTTTAATCATCTTCAGGAAAATCGAATCAAACACATTTTTCTTTCGCCTCAAACAAACGTCTGATTTTCAGCACTTAAACATACGGGACTAATCAGTAGCACTTTATAGTTCGGTATGTTAGGTAAATATCACATAAGCCGGTACTTCCTACACAGGCCATCGAGCTGTTTTGAAGGATTCTCATTCTAACTTATGAAAAGGAAGTCACAAAACAATTGAGCATGCTTTTTCCCCCGGTTTAATCCCTTCACTACTTTGAATACATTCAGCACACCTGTTCAAACTATGTAAGAAAAGCCCAGGATGTTGAGGATGTTCTTAATGGAAACAAAAAGTGCTACACAAGTTTCACTTCGTATTCCTGCAGCCTCCTTCTGTTGAAATCAGGAGAAATTGCAGCAGGAGGCCAGAGACTTCTTGATGTGCTCCGTGGTCACACAAATCTCTCCGGAGGAAGAGGAGTCTAAGTTTGGTCTCCTTTAATGTCTGGGAATTCAGAGTTGAAGAAGAAGAAACAGATGAGCAACAGACATGTTGGATGGATGTGTGTGACGTGTCAGAGGGGTTGGAGGTGAAACAACTCTGAGCCTCAGAGAGCTGGGAGACACAGCGCTTCTTCATCTCAGACGCGGAGGATATTATCATACCCTACCGGGGCTTTCTTGCTCCACATATTGAAGAGGGGAATGGAGGAGAAAGAGACAGATGTCTGCAGATGCATGTAGGTCAGCTGCAGCAGAGACCGAGGGTGTACTGTGCAGTACAAAGAGCTTGAGCGCTGAGAAGGGACAGGAGAAAGTCCGGAAGCATAAAGCACAATGTGGAGTTCGGCTAGTTAAATCAGGATATCTGCAAGCTGCGAGGAAGCAAAAGACTGCTTAATCGTGACTAGAATCGACTTCAATGCCTTTAAAAAAACAACTAAATAAAGCTGGCAAAATGTAACAGAAGTGAGGACAGCTGTGTGAGGAGAAAGAACATCTGGATTTCAAGGGGTAAGGAACCTGAATGTGTTCAGTAAAGCAGAAGTTATGAAGAAAAACAACTTTACCAACTATATCTGTATTGAGGAAAGGTTGATTAGGACCACACACACACACACACACACACACACACACACACACACACACACAC